AAAAAAAAAAATAACGGGTCTTTTGAACGAATTTTAATCATAAATACTGATATTTTGCCTGTAGCTTTATTTTAGATCACTTTTAAGGTTACAAGTGTGAGTTTTATACCAGGTGAGCGATGCAGGCCCATTGGGCCTCTTGTTAAACAAAAATATTGTCAACGTTGTGTTTTAAATAGATTTTTGATTTTATGTTTAGGGTTCATCACCCCTATAAAATTACCATAATTGGATTCATGCGCGTCATGGAATACAAGCATATGAAGTTCACGGAGTATTGACACTGGCATGTTAATTTCAGGGATATGGTCTGTCGACAGGTAAATCTCAACACTCGGGTAAGAGCATGGCAAAGCCTCGTGCTAGACAGCCAAACTCTTACCCTCGGGTTGAGATTTCCTTGTCCACGGATCACACCACAGTACGATTCCGTAATCTTAAAGCCTTACCTTGCAGGTCTGTCCGTTCAGAAGATTCGGACTGATGCCAATACAGATACTATCTTGGTTGTGTTAGAGTCCTCGGGTCTGGCCGTGTCTATGGACGTGACCTCTGACCTCATTAATGTCCTTGTCATGGTGGGGGACGACGCCATGAAAGGTAACCGTGATTAAGTATACATCATTTAATATATCTCCCTTTCTGGGTAGAATAAGCCACTCTGGAGCGCTTTACAGTATATAGATATACAATGTACAACACACACACGCATATATATGTATATATATTATAACAGCAGTAAATGTATGCTTACGGACTAAGAGATACTATAAAAATAAAAAAAATCTCAACAACATGTCATGAGCACAGCTCATCAAGGAGATTCCCCTGTGTGTGTACAATAGTGATGCATTCAGTACAATTGTGAGGAATTTGCTGGAGCTGCTTTATCAGGCGCTAACTACTAGTCATGTGCCACCTGGCTAATATCTCCCTATGTGTGTATGCCTGCGTGTGTGCTGGAGATGTAATATTTTTAGTGGGACCGTGCTTCCCACGGCTTATTTTATAGTGCCGCCTAACTTGAATACTACAGCTCAGATACCGAACACCCCCACCCAGATCATGTTGTATTCCACATGGGTTGTTGGATTTGTATGGGCAGGTGAAAACACTTTTTCTTCTCCGTACGGCCGGACTTCGGGGATCGAACTACGGCCGCCCGCTTTGTAGGCTAAAGTATTCGGGCAATCTGCACGTGTTCGAGTATTCTGTAACTAGTATCGATAAAACAAGCCCCTCACAACAAACATTCTGTGACTGTAATCGAAAACACAAGCCCCTCATAACAATCATTCTGTGACTGTTATCGATAACACACGCCCATCATTACAAACATTCTGTGACTGATATCGATAACACAAGCCTCTCATTACAAACATTCTGTGACTGCTACATATATCGATAACACAAGCGCCACCATTACAATCGTTCTGTGACTGTTATCATAACACAAGCCCCTCACAACAAACATTCTGTGACTTTAATCGATAACACAAGCCCCATCATTACAAGCATTCTGTGACTGATATCGATAACACAAGGCTCTCATTACAAACATTCTGTGACTGTTATCGATAACAATGGCCCCATCATTACAATCGTTCTGTGACTGTTATCATAACACAAGCCCCATCATTACAAGCATTCTGTGACTGATATTGATAATAATGGCCCCATCATTACAAGCAATCTGTGACCGATATCATAACACAAGCCCCATCATTACAAGCAATCTGTGACTGATATCGATAAGAATGGCCCCATCATTACAAGCATTCTGTGACCGATATCATAACACAAGCCCCATCATTACAAGCATTCTGTGACTGTTATCGATAACAATGGTCCCATTATTACAAGCATTCTGTGACTGATATCATAACACAAGCCCCATCATTACAAGCATTCTGTGACTGTTATCGATAACAATGGCCCAATCATAACAAGCATTCTGTGACGTTAATCGATAACAATGGCCCCATCATTACAAGCATTCTGTGACTGTAATCGATAACAATGGTCCCATCATTACAAGCATTCTGTGACTGTTATCGATAACACAAGCCAAACATTACAATCGTTCTGTGACTGTTATCATAACACAAGCCAAACATTACAAGCATTCTGTGACCGTTATCGATAACACAAGCCAAACATTACAAGCATTCTGTGACTGTTATCGATAACAATGGCCCCATCATTACAAGCATTCTGTGACTGTTATCATAACACAAGACCCATCATTGCAAGTAATCTGTGACTGATATCGATAACACAAGCCCCATCATTACAAGCATTCTGTGACTGTTATCGATACCACAAGCAAAACATTACAAGCATTCTGTGACTGTTATCGATAACACAAGCCAAACATTACAAGCATTCTGTGACTGTTATCGATAACGATAGCCCCATCATTACAAGCATTCTGTGACTGCTATCATAACACAAGACCCACCATTACAAGCATTCTGTGACTGTTATCGATAACACAAGCCAAACATTACAAGCATTCTGTGACTGCTATCATAACACAAGACCCATCATTGCAAGCACGCTTCGCTGACGTCAAGCTGAATGTAACGTAATGCTACCTCGTCAATATATGCTCCATACTCCAAAACTCAAATCAGTAATTTTGGTGTGTCCGAATGTGGTAAAATGTCACAATGTACTTGTTTTTTTATTACGTTAATGTCAATGTTAAATGGCTTTCAGGTCACCTTCGTGGTCTCCTTGGGAACTATAATGGGAACCCAAACGATGACTTCATTTCGCGGACAGGAGTACATCTCAGTTCCGACATAGACATGGAACAGATCCACTTCGAATTTGGCCTGACCTGTAAGTCTTCTTAACCAGTTTGGCAGACTCTTCATTGCGCTTGTATTTTGAGTTTTTATCAATACGGTTACAATATTTGGAAATTCTAAAATACATCTTGCCGAATGTGCACTTTTAACACAATGGTAACACAATGATATATATACATTGCGATGGAGCTTTGAGACGGCTTACTTTTATTTTCCAGGGGAAGTACCCGAAAACAAGACTCTATTTTCAAATGTTATACCTCAAACCTCAGATTTTGTACCAACGTTTAGTGACACAAACACGCTGCCGGTCCGGAACGGTACTGAGGAAATGTGCGGGGATAATGTACAATGTAAATTTGATTTTCAAGTCACTGGTAATGAGGCTATAGCCAGAAGCACCGCCAACTTTATCGACAAATTTAATGTGCTGAAGAAAGATTTAGTGAAGGGTAAGTAACCAACTAGTTTACCTAATAAGGTACACCCCAACCAAGTATATGCAAGCTGTTTGTATTACATGTGCTAACTAAGAGATCCGTGTACACAATCCTCCGATTTCTTAGTTATGCTTTACCGGTCAGTTTTATTTTAGTTTTCTGTTAACAGTGATTCGCTGTCCTTTCCTGGATACACCGGAGAATGGGAGGAGAAATATAACGGGTTACTTCCCGGGAGCGGACGCTACCTTCGAGTGTTTGTCAGGCTTTGTCAGTGTCGGTGGGGACCACAGACAGACGTGTAAGGAGGATGGCACGTGGTCAGGTACCACCATAGCATGTGTACAACCAGGTACGGATCTTATAAACAATGTTGATAATGAGTACAAAACTTAACGAACGTTGTGTGTAAACAAAACTCATATAAAAAACAACAGATGATTTCCAAAGGGGAAAAAGATAAAAATATAGAACAAATGTCACTCTAAGTCCTACTTTTTCGGCCTCCTGGCTTTCTTCAAGGGAGAAAGTCAACTCATATATTTGTTACAAAAGTAATAGGACATGCTACAATGCTACAAAAACATCCCAACAACGTGCAGTACCGGACCAAGTGATGTTCCTCGGTATGACATCATGGCAACTTTTGCATCTTTGGGGAGTGTTTCTAAACGACACTAAGGGTATGTTATGTTTCCAGGTTTCTCATGTGTAAGCTCTAATAAGCGCTATTATTTCTGTTTACAGTGCGACCGGATGATCGGGGCTATTCACAAGAAATCATCCTCTACACTTTGGGTAGTTCTGGCATTGTTGTTATCATCACCGTCATCGTTATAGGTATCATATGTCAGTGTCGTCGACGAAAGCCGAAGGAGGCCGATGTAGAGGAGTGAGTATAACATGTCCTTCTACGTGTAGTTGGAAACTGACATTAATATTAACCATCTTCTAAATGGAAAGTAAATACTTTTCCTGGCTGGGAATGTCGGTCCCTGTCAGTGATTTGCCTTGACTCAATATACTGTTGTTCTCCTTGTTTATTTGTTACGATTTTCTGTTTCCAGGGATGCACCTCGTGTTGATTTACATGTCCTATTATCCCCATCCGACATTCCAAGACCAATTTTTGAGAATGAGGAGTTCTTGAAAATGTAAGTATATAAGTAATGTTTGATTAATGATGTTACAAATTAACTCACAAGTCTCAGTTCCTCAAAGCCTGAATTAAGATACATATGTACATTTTCATTTTTAGGTTACCTGACCATAGGTCATGGTAACCTAGCTATTGTGATTGCCTTTTGTCCGTCGTCGTCCGTCGTGCGTCGTGCGACGTGCGTTAAGTTTTCCTGATGAACGCGATAACTTCAGTAAATGTTAACCGCGTTTAAAGAAAATTTGTATGCAGCCATATATCAATAAGATCCCGGACTCTAAGTGGGAATTATTCGACAGTAACTTACAGAGTTATTGCCCTTTGTAATATTATTATTATTGAACCTTGTGAACATGATAACGTAAGTAATTTTCAACCAAGTTTGATGAAACTTTTTATGCAGCCATATATCAATAAGATATCGGAAGAGTTCGAAAATAGGAATTATTCGACAGTATCTTACAGAGTTATTGCATTTGTAATAATATTATTATTGGACCTTGTGAACACGAGAACTTGAGTAAATGTTAACCGAGTTTGATGAAACCATGTATGTAGCCATATATCAATAAGATCCCGGACTCTAAATGGGAATTATTCGACAGTAACTTACATAGTTATTGCCCTTTGTAATAGTATTATTATTGGACCTTGTGAACATGATAACGTAAGTAATTATCAACCAAGTTTGATGAAACTTTGTATACGGCCTCATATCAATAAGATCTCGGATGAGTTGGAAAATGGGAATTATTCGACAGTAACTTACAGAGTTATTGCCCTTCGTAATAATATTATTACACTATTTTATATTGGACCTTGTGTTCACGATAACTTGAGTAGAGATCAACCAAGTGTGATGAAACTCTGTATGTAGCCTTATATCAATAAGATCTCGGATGAGTTGGAAAATGGGAATTATTCGACAGTAACTTACAGAGTTATTGCCCTTCGTAATAATATTATTACACTATTTTATATTGGACCTTGTGTTCACGATAACTTGAGTAGAGATCAACCAAGTGTGATGAAACTCTGTATGTAGCCTTATATCAATAAGATCTCGGATGAGTTGGAAAATGGGAATTATTCGACAGTAACTTACAGAGTTATTGCCCTTCGTAATAATATTATTACACTATTTTATATTGGACCTTGTGTTCACGATAACTTGAGTAGAGATCAACCAAGTGTGATGAAACTCTGTATGTAGCCTTATATCAATAAGATCTCGGATGAGTTCGAAACTGGAAATTATTTGACAGTAACTTACAGAGGTATTGCCCTTTGCAATAATATTATTATGGGACCTTGTAAACACGATAACTTGAATAAATATTGACGGAGTTCAATGAAACATGTCCGGTAATTATTTGACGGTAACCTGCAGAGTTATTGCCCTTTGTCATTATATTATTATTTGTCCGTGTGATGTTGATTGACATTACGCAAGAAGAGATGTGGTACACCTTTTTTTTCATTCATGACGCATTTTTGCTACTAGCAAGGTGCTATTCAAATATTGTGCCTTATTTAATAAATCATTGATTTACGCTTTTACTTGTTTCTTTTAACCAAGAACAGAAGACATACAGTTACCAAGTTTGTTCAAAACAGACCCCTTGGGTCAAAATTGGAGTCACACGCATTTATTTCAGTTATCGTGTTCACATGGTCCAACAATAATAGAATGACCGTTTGTCTTTCTTGGTTTCGACTGATACTTCTGAATAACTATCACTTCATGTATTAACATACCACTACGGAAATTGATCTAGCAATTTAACGTTAACGTTAATGGCAATGCTAGTTATAACCCCCAGTACTACAGAAACATTCAGATCAGTACTCTAATTGGTTTACCTTTGTTTCAGGCTCGGACAGTTAAATTCTGGAGACGGGTTTAAAATTCCACGCCCAAGTTACGTCGATCCGCAATTATTTGATGAATATTTCTTCTAGTCAGGGATGTTACGTGTTTCCAAATATAAAATGGAAGTTGAGTGTTGAATTGAAAAGCCTTTGGACTGAAGTACATGCTATACATAAAGTAGATGGCTGCTACATGTATAAGTAAACAGTGACGGTGGAAGAGACTTGTTTTTACTTAGCACTGTTGTTCACATGTCCCGTGCAGTGCCCAAACTTCACGTCTAGTCAAGCAAGTGAAGTACGTCGTCCAGAGGCTATAAAGTGCTATCTACAGGACTAGTACAGTGCTATCTACAGGACTAGTACAGTGCTATCTACATGACTAGTACAGTGCTATCTACAGGGCTACTACAGTGCTACCTACAGGGCTAGTACAGTGCTATCTACAGGACTAGTACAGTGCTATCTACAGGACTAGTACAGTGCTATCTACAGGGCTAGTACAGTGCTATCTACAGGGCTAGAATTTTGACAGTTGGTCAATATATAAATATATACTCTTATGGTGCTTTTTCCTCAGTGTTCCCAGCGTCTTTAAATAGCGCTTATCTTACTGAGACGAGTGTGTGACATTTTGTGATTCGTTGTTCGACTTTTCACTTTGAATAATGGTTTCTGATTCCTTCAGTCGACTAAGAACCCCCGTACCGCTGCCAAATCTCTAACGATCACTGGACACTGTTTTCTGGCTTGATTATGTTTGATAAATCATTTCTGAAAACAAAACTATACCTTGTGGGACGTTTATGAGAAGGATTATAATAAAGACTAAATATAATCTACAACAATTTACTGAGTGTAACAATTTCGCGATTAGACAAGGATTCGTGCCCTGGAACTCCAATTGTTATACTGTCGCTCTGATTGTCGCTCTAACCAATGGAGTTGTGACGAACTGACCTGTTCCAATCGTTAAACTGTCGTTCTGATTGTCGCTCTAACCAATGGAGTTGTGACGAACTGACCTGTTTCAATTGTTAAACTGTCGCTCTAACCAATGGAGTTGTCACGAACTGATCTGTACCAATCGTTAAACTGTCGCTCTTACCAATGGAGTTGTGACGAACTGACCTGTTCCAATCGGTTAACTGTCGCTCTAACCAATGGAGTTGTGACGAACTGACCTGTTCCAATTGTTAAACTGTCGCTCTAACCAATGGAGTTGTCACGAACTGATCTGTACCAATCGTTAAACTGTCGCTCTAACCAATGGAGTTGTGACGAACTGACCTGTTTCAAATTGTTATAATGTCGTTCTGATTGTCGTTCTAACCAATGGAGTTGTCACGAACTGACCTGTACCAATCGTTAAACTGTCGCTCTGACCAATGGAGTTGTGACGAACTGATCTGTTTCAATTGTTATACTGTCGTTCTGATTATCGCTCTAACCAATGGAGTTGTCACGAACTGACCTGTACCAATCGTTAAACTGTCGCTCTGACCAATGGAGTTGTGACGAACTGACCTGTTTCAATTGTTATAATGTCGTTCTGATTGTCGCTCTAACCAATGGAGTTGTCACGAACTGACCTTTACCAATCGTTAAACTGTCGCTCTGACCAATGGAGTTGTGACGAACTGATCTGTTTCAATTGTTATACTGTCGTTCTGATTATAGCTCTAACCAATGGAGTTGTCACGAACTGAACTGTACCAATCGTTAAACTGTCGCTCTGACCAATGGAGTTGTGACGAACTGACCTGTTCCAATCGTTAAACTGTCGCTCTAACCAATGGAGTTGTGACGAACTGACCTGCTTCAATTGTTATACTGTCGCTCTGATTGTCGCTCTACCCAATGGAGTTGTGACGAACTGACCTGTACCAATTGTGCTACACAAAATGCAGGGGACGAAGTTACAGTTCATATACAAAATTCGCCATAGAGTTCTCCATTGGGTTTTTTTGCAGTGGGAAAGGAATACCTATTGCGTTTTCCTGTAATTGAATGATGAAAAGCGATCTGTACACGACACATGCTAGGGAGATTCTAAGATTGAAATCTATTTCAAAGTTTTGAAAAGGGACATCTAAAATTTGATGCAGAACTTTTTCACAACCACTGTTATGATCATTTAGTTTGTTTCTCATAGTGTAACAGTTTTAATCATAAGGAGACAGTTCTTGACAATAAATTGCATTACATGAAAATTGACTGATGGGCCTGCTGGATATACATTTTCACTTGAATATTTTTGTAAACCTTTCATAGCAGTATACACACTGCATTGACGTCCAAGCGACGGATGTGTAGGATTATCAATGCAGAAACACATTATTCAGGGATAATTCCAGTGTTCAGAAAAGTTGCCACTGTGATGATTGCAAAGAAGACGCGTGTGTAAACATGATATGTGAGTGTTGGTTTCTATTTTGATATCGAAAGACGAATACTATCCAGCAGATCGATAATTTCGACCATATATGCTGAGGATATGAAATAGTACCAAGCCGAAAAACAAGGACATTTTTCCCGCACTGATAGTACTAAGCTAAAAAGTAAGGACTTGTTCATTCGCACTTAGAGTATCAAGCCAAAAAACAAGGACATTTTTATTTGCATTGAAATTGACACTCATATGTAAGAGAAACATATTTAAGTGTATGGTAAAATTCGGTCATAGGTTTGTTGGCACTTACTTTTTGTTTTCCTTTAGGATCGGAAAAAGGGTTTATGGAGCACTAACAAAATTCTGCATTTTTTTTTTAAAGTTTAGGAATGTATAATATAGAAAAAGTTAATGTAAATTCTGGCTGGGAATGTACGGTGCTTTGTTCTATTGAACGACTAATTAACGAGTGCTGTTTGATCTGTTGTCTGTACATAGTTCCCATGATAGGGATTTAATTAAATATTAGGATTGCATTATAATGTTCCGTATGTCAATGTTTGTCTGTATGTATATGTTTGTCTGTATGTATATGTTTGTCTGTATGTCAATGTGTGTATGTATGTACATTTGTGACTGTATGTGTATGAATGCATGTGTGTGTCGGATGTGTATTATTGCATGTGTGTGTCTGTATGTGTATTAATGCATGTATGTGTATGGATGGCTGTATGTATATGTGTCTGTATGTACATTGTATATGTATGTCTATGTGTCTCTATATATATCTGTATGTCTGTTCATTGGTATATCATAAATAAAAGATGAATATAAACAAAGATTATCCACTGCAAGTAGTGTCAAGGACATGGAACAGCTTCTAGTTGCGTTGTAGACTCTTAGACAATGTCTGTATATAAATATGTATCGATGTATATGTGTGTCTGTATATATATGTGTCTCTGTATGTATATGTGCGACTGTGTGTATATTTGTGTCTGTATGTATATGTGCGACTGTGTGTATATGTGTGTCTCTGTATGTATATGTGCGACTGTGTGTATATGTGTGACTCTGTATGTATATGTGCGACTGTGTGTATATGTGTGTCTCTGTATGTATATGTGAGACTTTGTGTATATGTGTGTCTCTGTATGTATATATGCGACTGTGTGTATATGTGTGTCTCTGTATGTATATGTGAGACTGTGTGTATATGTGTGTCTCTGTATGTATATGTGAGACTGTGTGTATATGTGTGTCTCTGTCTGTATATATGCGACTGTGTGTATATGTGTGACTATCTGTATGTATATATATGTGTGTGTGTATGTATGTATGACTTTATGTATACGCGTGTGAACAGTTGTTGCATGTATGACCATATGATTGTCAATCATGCTTGTGTAAGATTTTATACAGATGATAATGAATGTTATCTTGACTGAAAATGTAAAATAACATTATCATGAATCGCCATCTTTATGTATTTGTTACAAGTCTGGAAATGTTTGGAGGCTGATAGTTATTGTAGATGTTGAGTAATAGCAGGATTAATAGATCCAAGTGAAAGTAAATGTGGCGCGGATATTGTAAATGGTACTTTTTTGCAAAACAGCTTCTAGTAACGTTGTAGAACGAATTTCTCCCATGAATAATAACTGATCAATAATTCCATGTCCTTTACTCTACTTGCAGTGGGTAATCTTTGTTTATATTCATCTTATATTTATGATATACGATTGCACATCAAGTGTGTATGGAGTTTCTTCCGATACATTTTTAGCCTTATTTTCGTTCAAGAGGGTTTTGTCGTCGAAATTAATACAGTGCTTGTTTGCTTTTCGAAATGGTTCTGGGTACTCTTAGTTACTGAATGACTTTTCTGTTGTGTGTCGACAAAAAGTCGCATTTAAAGATGCATAGTTGTTTTGCAGTTGGCTGCTTATTCGTTCAAGGAAAGAAAAACAAAACCACTAGCTTAAAAATAACAAATATTACTTCTATCAAACTCATTGCTTCGGTATTTTTTCAATAGAAAAAAAAATATATTTCATAGTTTTAAATACATTTTAGCATGTGAAATGAAAATTGTAAGTAAGATAAACGGATATATACATCGGCCCTAGAAACGCAGTTTACACTCTAATACGTTGTTTTTATCACTTTCAAATGAGCTGTATTGTATTTTGAACTTTCTGTAATGCATAACTCACCAGGAACTCGGTAAATTATATACTGAGCAAAAATGAAGGCAAATATTCAGACATATCTTTTCAGCTTAAACTCTTAAGCAAAATTATTGCAAATAGGTGTTCGTAGTACTCACAATTTACTTTTGTAAATTGGTGGTCGTGGTAATCACAGTGAACTAATATGACTAGGTGTTTGTGGTACTCAGTGAACCTATGTGATATGATATGGAAAAACCTGCTGAAATGTGTTTAAAGATATGAGCCTGTGTGTGAATGTTATAACATTATTGTGATACATTTGTCCATCACTTATCTGTTACATATACCGCCATAACGTACATTCGTTCATTTTGTTGTTGATACGTAAGATATGGACATTTTATTTATTGATTGATAATGGTAGACTCTTGTTTTTAAGAGCGAGAAATGAAATAAAATTGATATGAATTTTGTTTGTTTCTATATGTCGACTTATATTTATGAGAAGGAAATATCGACTTCATTAGGTTTGGGATAGGAC